GGGGCGGAAGGGGGGGGGGGGGGGGTGTTATTGTCACAATTTACAGAGCTGGACACTGAGGCACGGCGTGGAGGAGTGAACTGCCCAAGGTCACACCGTCAGTAGATGGGAAAGCTGGACTCCAGTCCTGGGGTCTCTCCCTCCCATGCCCCACAGAGCCTCTGAGATAGCGTCCTGCTGGCGCTGAGTGTGGGAGTGGGACGCTGATGGCTTTTCAACAGGGGCAGGTCTAAATCCTAAAATGTGATTGGGAATGTGCTTGGAGACAACTTAGTCCTACCAGTTCATTTCTCAGACTGTGAGACTGAGGCCCAGGAAGGAGATGGGACTTTCCTCAGGCCATCAGTGAGCAGCAGGCCCTGGATGACGGCCCAGGTCTCCAGCCTGCCCGTTGGATGCGATTCCCACTGCACCAAGCTGCTCAGGACACAGTGGTTCTCCCTGGGTCTGGGCTCAGGAAGGAGGGAGTTCTGGAAAGCTCGTCCTGGGCTGGATCATTGGAGAGGGAGCCTCGGGCTTGGGCTCCTGACCTAGGCCCTGGCAGAGACCATCCAGCCACTGGGGGACGGCTGTTCAGAGGGGACTCTGGCCTTTCCCATCTCATTCCCTGGTGGTTATCCTCCTTCTACTCCCTCCATTCAGCTCCCCAGGGAGCCTCTTTTCCCTCTTATCCTGCTCCCCCTGCTGCCTCTTCCCCCATTCCCAGTCAGTCCCTCCAGGGACCTGGTAGAGGGGCCATCCCTAACTCCCAGCCAACCTCTGGTTAGCAGGGGCTGTGGTACACCTCAGGTGCCTAGATTGGGGCCAGGGGTCACAGCCCCCCCCCCCCCCCCCCCCCCCCCCACACACACACACATAAATGTTGCACTGGGATCCCTGGGTTGTACTAAACCCTGGGTTAGATGGAGTAGGTCAACCAAAAGGAAAGACATTGGACCTGCCTTTAGGACACATCAGGGCTCAGCCAGTTCCACACCCGGGCCCTGTGTTTTATAGGAAGGAAGGGCCAGGGGTGGGGGCAGAGGTATGGGGAAGGCAGGTTAGATCTCTGGGGAGCCCAGCAAGCCCTCACTGAGAAGGTGGCACTTGATCTGAGCTTCTTTCATTGGGGTAGAACTTGGGAGAAATTCTTCCAGGGGAGGTGGAATTGAGCATGTTGGGCCTGGGAGACCATTGGGCATGCTAGGCTAAAACCCAAGGCTCCTAAGGATGGCAGGGAGGTGGCACGGGAAAGGCAGAGTGGGACAGATCAGGAAGGACTCATGCTTGGCCTTTGCCTGGTGGTCCCACCTGTGATGTGGGGAGGTAGTCGAGCAAATCGAAGGAGGCAAGATCAGCAGCAGGCGCAGTACACCCACCAGGCTGAAGCCTGAAGAGAGTTCCCAGCCTTGGTGCTGGGAACTCCATTAACATAGAGGCTGATAGTGTTCCCCTCAGAGTAGAGGGTCTCTAGGCCTGGGAAGAGGCTTGGACAGGAGGTCCCCATCCCTCTAGTGTCCCAGAAGTGTGGCTATCAGACATCCAGGTAGAGCCTCCCACTTTCTCTCAGATGCTCCAGCTCCACCTTCCCTAGTGATGACTCCTCCAGGGAGCCTTCCAGGCTGCTCTGGGTCCCAGTGAAGCACTTAGCACTCCTGTCTCTTATCGCCCCTGGAGTTGTTCTGCCTGTTTCCTGGCTGCCAGCTCCCCTGGGAGCTCCCAGGCCAAGCCTGGGCGCCTCCCATTCTTGTCCCCAGGCCTGGTGGGGGAGGAGCACGGGGATGAGGACTTCTCTTCACCCTCAGGGCCTGGAGCAGCCTGGCTGTTGGGGGGGCGGGGGCGGATCTGGAGGGATGGTGTGCTACCCCCATCGGCCCAGGCTGGCCAATAGGTCCTAAGTGGGATGGGGGCTAGAAGGAGAGACTGATCTGAGACTCCAGGAGGAGGGTCCTGCTACAGCTGGGCTGAGCATAGGTTGTGAGTACAGGGGGCACCCCCTTTTTTTCTCCCCTAGCCTGCTGGAGCAGGGCTCCCTCCTCCTTCTTTGTCCTCCGGGGATCCCCAGCCCCCAGGGCTAGTGGGGTGTGGGAAGAGGCTGTGTGAGCCAGGGTTGGGGGGTGTCCTCACAACCCCCCCACAAACACACTGCACGAGCGGGGGGGCTGGCAGCTGCCCGCCTCCTGGGCACAAGCCCGTGCCAGCCGCTCCTGGCACAGT